ATCAGCCATCTTTCTCTCGGTCTCATTTAACTTCAGGAAAAAAGCATCTCTAACAATTTCAACACATACAGAAGTTAACACAGAAGGCATAACAAGCTGTTTTAGCATTTATCTGATGCCTGATCAGTCCAACTACTGATTATATGTGGATGAAAGAGCATTGATCTGTGTGGGTGATGAAGCGGTGTCAGTAAGAGCTGCAAAGACGAGCTTTACATCTGTCTCGCTTGTAGTACATTTGTTACAAGTAGCTGCTAAACTATTAGATTTTGTGGGTGGGGAAACATCTCAGCGCCTTGTCACGCTGCTGGCGTTTTTACCAGTTTGTAAAAATTTAAATGAATGAATTGAAAAAAGACGCTGGCGTCAGAAAAAAACGCTTTGGTGGACACGGGCCCTAACTGCTAAAGTTCTCATTTACTCTTTTACTGGTGATTTTTAGCTGATAGCAAACAGCTTCAGGAGAATTACCATTACTCGCTATACTAGAGTGAGCCTTATGCAGATTAGGCAGACTGAGGCTTATGCGTCTGGCCCGGGAAAACCAAGACGGATTGCAATCAGATTTGTGATCTGGGTAACAGAGACACATACAGTATATCTAAGTGTAAGTGTAAACAAAAGTGTATTCAGACTTCTCTGGATTTTATTCATATGACACACTTCAAAATGAGGTTTAATCAGGCCGAACACATTTCAGATTGGGTGTCATTGTCCTTTTTTGCGGGGGTGGGATCAGGACCTCTCTTTAAAGTTAAGTTAAGTTTGGGTAGGTTTGGGACATAAATTGACCTTTATGTCTGATATAATAATATAGCTGCTACAGCTACAGAAACAAAAGCCCACCATCTACAGGCAACACTCCAGTCAAACAGACTTGTTATTCCTGCCACAGTTTTCCCCCAAAATCATTATTCTTTAATCCTTTTCAAATTTTGTGGGTGTGATTTGTCATCTGCAATGCAGGCTTACATGAAGTGATGAGTGCTTTTGATTGCATAAGATAAACATTTTCGGAGCCATTTGGTTCTAAAGGCTCAAAGAAAGGCTTGTTGAACGCACAAATCAGCCTAATTATATTTTTAAATTTATCTTTGTTAGACTTCAGAACCTTATAGATCTGTGTTTGTGTTGTTTGTGTCCAATATTGATTTTATTATCTGAGATCATACAACTAACAGCAATGTATTTTGGGTGGTGTTCCTGTTGTTAAGCCAGGTGCAGTGGGAAAAGATTGATCAAGGAATATGATCCAAGTTAGTTCCCTGAATCCCTTTGAGTCATCCGACATGCGTGCTTCCCATACAGACTGAACTAATGACCTAAAATGAAACCAACAACACATTGTGTGTGTGTGTGTGTGAGTGAGATAAGGTTTGATGATAAACAGCACCAATCAAATGCTGACAAAAACATTAATCTCCTTGTCTGTTTTTTTCAGTTTTTGATATTGTTGATATTTAAGATTTTCTCAGTGGAACAAATTTCTTTGTCTTTTTAGCAGTGTCCAAGTCCTCCTAAGTACCCACCCAGCAAACATCTGTTGCTGCTGCTGGAAGTACAGTAAAAACATATTTACACTGATATAATGACCTCACCCAAGTGCAGTCTCTACTTCACTGTCAATCACCAAGAGACAGTGGCAAAACCGATTACATACATATACTGTAGATAAAGTATCGTAGTAACTACAAGAACAAAAGGAAAAGCTACTGTACTTACATGAGAAGGAACATTTTCCTGGCTTTTATTTGAAAATTAGCCAAGAGTCCGACACAGATGAGACGGCATAAATGTGGCCAGTGTGATTTACTTACCAACTTAAATGTCCTGTGGCTGTAAGCCTGAAAACTAGTCAAGCAGAGGTAAAGTAGACAGGAAAGCGCTTTTTTGCCTTCTTCACCATCTACCACCCCACACACTTAATTCTCAGCGGCTCAAGTGTCCAACAAAATGGAGGTTGAGGGCAGCTCCCTGGTGTCCCCTCCACTACACTGCTACTGTAAATATGACTTTGTTCCCTTAACACTGGTGAATATTGTGTTAATGTCTGAAATAAACCTTTTAGCTCCTATAACAAATATTGCCTCATAAATTGTACAAGAAAGTATATTCAAAAACAATTCGCCTACAAAATGAGCTTGATAAAACACCTGCTGAAAAAGATCCTTGTATGTCCTGTAGACTGTTTTTTGTATTTAAGCTAGAGCTGCAGATGTAGCCACTGCATGTGATTTCTTTACATTGCTTCATGAAATTTACAGAGGCTTTTATTTACATCTCTGTCATTTCTTAAGTATAAGACATCACAACATCCAAAATGTAAAAAAGGCTACATTTTCATGCTTTTATTGCTTTTTTGTACAAGTTAAGTCAGTTAAAGGGAGAATAAAGCTGATGATACACGGGGCAACTTTTTGAGCAACGTTGCTGGGCAATCTTGCTAGTGGCAAGTCCGACTATGTTTTGAACGATAACAGCGGTGCGAGGCGGGCGGCGGAGTGGTGGGGGAAGGGGGATTACGGTATTAATCTTTACTCATTAGCATTGACGGCAACGTTGCCCTGAACGATTGCTCTAAAAGTTGCTCTGTGTATCATCAGCTTAAGTGATTCTGCAGATGGATTGTTGATATTTGAATTCAACTGCCAAACAACGCTCCCTCAAAAGCTCCGGCCCCCAAATTTGAAACCCTAGAGATTTGTCCAGCATTGACGCCTTCGCCCTTGCCTGGTCATATAACTTTCTTCTCTGTTTATACTCCCCTCCCCCATCACTCATGTGCAGAAACTGTTGTTGATTGGCTGGAACAATGTTGTGCGGCAAGGTCCACACCACTTTCTTTGTTATCCATTTACAGAGCCAGGGCTGTGTAGGAAAACCAGATTTCACATCAAGCACACACAAATCGTAGAGCTAGTGGTACAGTATCACGTATACGCATCAGCACATAAGTGTAGGGATATATACATAAGAAAGTGATAAAGTGTAATGTCTTATGCCATTTACCATTGCAGGTCCTAAATTCAAAGTCAGTGAATCATCAGGACAACTTTATTTATATTTAAGAACTTTATTTGCTCTGTAGTAAATTGTGTTTGGGTATATGGCACAGATGTGGGACCCCCCTGCCATTCCACGTGCCTACGTGGAAAAGCCATAAGACAGGGAGAGCACCTCCCTGCCCATCCACGTGCATACATGGAAAGCCCGAGGCAGAGAGAGCAGCAAGGGTAGACAGGCTGAGGCAGCTTAAAAAGGCACCTTGTATGGATTTTGCCAATGAAAGCAAAGAGGGAAATCAGCTGATGAGGGCTGACTTTGACATGGCTGCTATCAGCTGATGTGCTGGGATTGTGAGCTAGGCTTGATTTCTTTGCCTGCCCGAACTAACACTATGCTCGACTTTTTGATCAATTTAAAATGTAAACTTGAATTATTGTTTAATAGATTTTCTAATGAGTTACATTTTCAACAAATATGGTGCTGTAGCTGACAGATGACTACAGTCTGTATGCTCAAGGGTTTCAGTCCCTCTACATGTTCTAATGTGGCACAGATGAGCTTGACATGAAGCATTTTACCTTAAAAGGAAATGAGACTGGGAATCTGTAAACATGCATTTACTCACACACACAGTCACACACACACTCTTACGGGAAGCCTTCTGACCTTATTCACAGCTGGTTTGGGTGTACGTTTACGTGTATACGTGCATTTATCCAAAGGCCACATGGAAGACTCTGTTAAACAAAAACCTTTAAACACCGACAGACTTTCATGTCAACTCTATTACATTAACAGACACACAGTTACACACACACACACACACACACATGCACCCTGACACAATGTGAGGGCACTGTGTCTTTGAAGTGTGGTTGAGACAGATTAACTGTTCCATATTGACCGGAGATGGTATTTAAGACTCTAAGAGGGATTCGATAGCCAGTGATATTTTATGTGTAGTAAAGAGGGTGATGCTAGAGACAGAGTGTGTGTGTGTGTGTGTGTGTGTGTGTGTGTGCGAAAGAAAGAAAAAGACAAAGAATGTGTGCATGTGTGCCAAATGTGTCAGTCTGATGAGTGTTTATCACCTAAACGTGCTTTGACCCGAGTCTGATTTCTTTCACACACACACACACACACACACACACACACAGGCATGCTGTGACCGGCTTCATTGGAAATTCTTTGAGGATGTTCCTGACATACTGACAGCCCATCAGTTAGACAGGCAGACACCTGAATATCTTTGATAACCTTAGATTATGTGTGAAGCTCCACCCTGTCTCTCCTGCGCAACTTTTTGAAAAGTGATCATAATCTTTTCCACTTTACATGTGGTTTTACTGTAGTTGCCTAACCTCAACCACCACTTATAGTAACTGTGAGCAAATGTAGAAAAATGTACATGAATGTTAAGCACAATCCACACTTAACACACAAGATCAGTCGGCTGTCTAACAGAACAGATACACTTTCTCTTTCAATACAGTTTCTACACATATCAATCCAGAAGGACCAAGATTTTGTGGTGTTTATGCAGTAGATGTCTATGGTGCAACAAGTTACATGGAGGAGGTTAAATAGTTGGGCTTGCAAAATGTTTGACTTTGATGCTGTAGATTTAGGTTCACTTCCCAGTTTAACCGGTGTTCGGAAGAAATATTCCCCCCTAATTTTAACAATCCCCAGTATCTAAACATTGCCCTCAGGCCATCGGTGCTCCCAATGGCCATTGTTTTATTTTACTTGATGGCCTCCATCAATCATAATCAAGCTGCTTTGGTCACTAAAAGCTTCTTGACTGGACCTTCTTAAGGCACTAAACCAACTTATGAAACACAATATTTTTTTCATTCATTCAATAACCATCTTTCCTTTTCTTCTCTTTAGTATGGTTTCTCATCTTATGTCTACTGTTGCAATTGTTAATTATTTTTATTATTATGTTTTATTATGTTATTATTAATTATTTCTGCTGTCCATTCCTGCAGTATGACTCTCCTCTGCCTGCATCCAATACCAACTGGGAGGCTGTCACTCTGCCCATGTCGGTGAGTCACACACACACACACACACACACACACACATTGTTAAAATCCTAAAATTAAAATTCAGTAGGCATGCTTGACCCCACTTATAATAAGAAATATTTTTGGCAGAAACAGAGCTTACTAATTAACCACTGAATGGAAGCAATGCATGTATATTTAATAGTTTTATACAACATAAAAATAAATGTACAGCTAGTGTCATACCATCATCACGATTATACAACTTCATTTCAAACTAATACTGTTGTTTTAAAAAACTTAATTATATGGTAGACAATGTGATATTTCAAACATAACATCCATAACATGACATAAATATAACATATACAGTGTACTTCCCCTCCAACCCCATCGCCCCACATATAAGTCTCTTCCAGGAACAATTGCTACACTAATAACTATGACATATGGCCATTTGCATTTAGGCATGCATACTTGAATGTACTGTATTTAATATGCATGAAGCTTGAGATGTAAAATGACACACTTCCTTACACTCATGTTACATCAGTGTAATTTGTGTGTGCGAGCAGTGGGGTTCAGTGACATATGCGACCATAATAATTAGTGTGCACTGGGCTGCGTGGCAGTTTTTCTGCATGGATTGATAATGGTTTTATGTATGTGGGTGTATGTTTTTGCGTGTGCATGTTTGAATATGTCTAAGACACTAGCTTGCTTTGTAGGTTTTCCCAGCAATCTATGGTAATTATACATAAAGTTCATGTTGGCAGTTCACACTACCCAGCAAATGTGTAATACATTAACTATAAATATGATATTACGTTAGCTCTCAGCTTCTCAATATGTTGAATTTGAGCATTAAAAAAAAAAAACATTTCAACCAATTTATAGTAAATATACAAGTATACAATATATAAGTAAATATACATTGTATCAGAGGATAATATATAGTTATTTGAAAAGTAATCTAATGGAGCTTCTGACTTCTGAATTTAACATTTTTGTTTTTACATGAGCCAGAGTACTTCAGTTCTCATGTTCGCTTTAATGACGTCTCCCTCCATACGCTCATGACATATTCGCATCGCTTATCATTGTCCTCTGACCCATATGGATGTCGGTGCTGATTATGGCAGCTAAAGTCACAGGAATAATAGACCCACATGCTATAAGAATTTGATTGACATTGCCTCCTAGCTAGACAAATAGACTGCAGCAGGGGAGCAGGGGCCAACCAGTAATTATCTGTGCACTATGTTGCTGCTTTTGTAACCTCATGTTGCTGACAATATTCACTGTAGTGAAAATTTAAGAACATAGCGAAATCACATTAAAAAGTATATTTAATATTAGAGTAATTCATATAAAATCTAAGAAATACCCATGTTTAACTTTATTACTGACCTTTATTTTCTTATCTCTATCTCACATGTTGACACCTACACAAATGGTGAATGACTGTGTTTGATATAGTGGTATTCAAAAGTATTGTTGCAAAAATGATGGCACAAACAATATATAAGTGGGACATTTTTACCACTTTAGGATGACATATTATGTTGTTGCACAATAATGATAGCAGAATTGGGAGAAAAAAATCATCATCAATCATTTTTAGGCAGAGTAATTTTTTTTCAAGCATGTAATGATTTCTAGCATTTTCAAGTTTGAGTCAAGCTTAATCTCACACCCAGGTTTGCATCTGTCATTGGGATACAAGCAGGCATATAGTTACAGTTGCTACCCAGAGAGGTTGATAGAAGAAGTACGATTTATTCTCTTTCCTAAAATAAATCCAGAAAAATGTCGGCTGTGAATCATTCATAATGTAATGTTAGTTAGCTAACTTCCTACTCAATGGAACGTAAAAAAGACCTACTGTTCTACTTTTTAATGATTGTAATGAATAGAGGCCTACCCAGCTGTCTTTTGTCTCAATCGTCGGGGGATACGGTGGTTAACTTGTACTGTGTGATCGTTAGGCTTTAGCTTCTATCTTAAATGTTTTTCATGTCCTTTTGAGTCAGTTTGACAGCCTGAATACAACCTACCCAAATGTATAATGCAACTGCAAAACTGTCTACTTCTTTCTGAGATCACTTTTTCCAACTAATCTGACAATATTTCTCCGGGGAGTGCAGTAATAGACAGTGGCAGCGCCGACAGTTTGTCGGGCTTAGCAACAGTAACTAAGGGGGGCGGGGCTTAGCGAAGGGTCAATTGTAAGTTGCTTTGGATAAAAGCGTCAGCTAAATGAATAAATATAAAGCATATTTATGTAATTGAAATGCTTTACATATTTTGAAAGGAAGCCAAATATAGAAAAGAGCTGCACTGAGGAAGAAGACACTGATTGACATCAGGTCAAGACATCCCTGTGAAAATCTGTTTTCCATTTAACTAAAAGCTCTGTCTGAAATGTTTAGTAGGGAACTCGTAAATGACTGGATGTGTTAGAGGAATCTGAGTCAGTATGACCAACAGTGACTGTGGCTTTTATGTTCGCGGTTATTTCTTTCTTTGTGGCAGTGTGGAGGCTATCTGTTGATTTCTCTAACTCTTCCCATGAATCCATGGATATCTTTTCAATGCTTTCAAATAAACAGTGCTGACCTCCCCATCACATCACATGCTATATCTACAGAGCGACCAATAAAATGGGCCATTTTTATGGAACCAAGAACATTGTCAAGGATTTCAGAAAGGAATTTCAGAAAACCCTCCTATCTCTGTGCGTATACCTATTGCTTGCACATTTCATAAAAAAGCACTTTAAATTGTATTATTGCGCTTTGATGCATGGTGGTGCATGTTGAAATTGTAAGGTTTTGGCACATGGCATACCTGATCTCCTGTAGGTAATAATGCTACTGATGAATAATTGCTGAAGTTAGAAAAGGCTTAAATCCATAATAGAATTAATCATTTTGAGTTTACGCTTTGACCTTTGCTCTTTGCAGAACACTGGTGGAGGGCAGGTGCCAGTGGCAGTCACAGAGGTTCCTTTGTCATTGGAAGATCTGGACCGGACCATAGCTGCCTTTGACACTGTAGAACAGCTTCTGAGATCCCTGAGCCCAGACACCTGGAAGCAGGACCTGGACAGCATCTACACTCAAACACACATACATTATAGATCCAGGGCCTATCATCTGGCAAGCAGACATAATAAAAGTAAGATATACTTTATACCTCCAAGTTTTACAAGCCCTACATGAACCTGTGCAACAAACATTTGTATATCATCTTAAACATGTATTATTGTCTCACCGTCTTTCAGGTTTGGGGAGCACTAAGAGAATATGTTTTTGCATGACTGTGCTTTTAGCATAATCACTTTTATTTGGCTCTAATATAACTGCTGCAAATGGACACATTACCAGACCAGAGTTACAATACAGGACTGAAACTTAAGAACTTATGAGTCGATATGATGAAGTGATGAAGTATTGAATCCAAAATAAAAAAAGGCTCCAGTTTTGCAGCATTAAAATTGTAAATGTACAAAGTAGTCCTACAATTTGGTCGAGATAGCAAGAAAATGCTGTTCCATCTCACACAGGCTCCGCCCTCGACTCTATGGGTACTACCTCCTCCAGTCACATGCATGCATTTGCCCACTGAAATTTTTATTGTGCACGCAACCGACCAATAGGACGTTGCTACCGATTCATGCGTGACGTATAATTAGCAGTGTCCTTACTGCCTCAGCATCCTTTTTTCTTCAGCAAATGGCAAACTGCTTACTGGATATGTCGGGGTCCTCAGGATCCAGCTCGCAGTGCAACCTAGGATCTGAAAAGTGAGGCTGTGGTGACTCCTGGGTGTAGAGGGGGAACATACATTGGCAGTGCCTGACGTTCCAGTGAGAAGTCAGGGCAGTCCAGGTGTTAATGGTCAGGCCAAGTCCCTATCGGTCCAGCAACCTTCTCAGGGGTGTCCCACCATTCTGTCACTAAGGTGATGTGGTGGTCGGGGCTTTGGCCAGCCTGTGGCTGACCGGGTTGGTGTGGTAGACTTGTCGCTGCTAGGACAGACAGTCATCAGGCTCCACCCACCGTACCCATAGAGTCCAGTAGAGGGCAGAGCCTGTGTGAGATAGAACGAAGGTTATGATATGGTAACCGTAGTTGTATAGGCACAGGCGGAGCCCTCTACCGATGAGCCCTGCCGCTCAGAGGATAACAGATAAAAAAAACAAAAGATTAGCGAAGTTTGAAGGAGCTATCAGCTGCTGCTTCTACAAGCGCTGCCGGTTGCCATAGTAATAAATTAAATTATTAAAATATCCATCCATCCATCCATCCATCCATCGTCAACTACTTATCCTGCGTACAGGGTTGCGGGGAGCTGGAGCCAATCCCAGCTGACATCGGGCAATAGGCGGGGTACATCCTGGACAGGTCGCCAGTCCATCGCAGGGCATACTTAAAATATTTACTATTTAAATAAAATATAAGCACAATGTGGGAAAACATCTTAGTATTCTATAATGACGACAGAGGACTAGTACTGACATGTTAAATTAGTGAAGTTGATGTGGGAAGATGAGAGGGGCAATTTTCTCATCCCATTTTATTGTGCTGTAGATGGTGATCCTCAACTGCTTTGCTGCGTTGACTTGTGCAGTCGTTGCTAGCTGGTATAATAGAGAGGAGGGAAGAGCCATGTGATGACCAAAAAGGACCCACACAGCAGGAGGCCCCTTCTCACATATTGAGATATACATAAAACTCAGTGGTACAGCATTAGACAAAGTTTATAACTCTGGAATTATTTGTTAGAGCGCTAATGGGTGTGATGGAGCCACTTACGATCAAATATAGCACAGGTGACAGCCAATTAAAACATGCTAATGAGGTGTTGCATTTGCATCTGAAACATATGCATTATCCAGTCTATATCAAGTAAGGCAGAGTGTGAATGACATCAGGCTGTTATTTGAGTGTATCCCTTAACACACTTAATTTGGCATGTAGGAAGGAATATATAAAAGGTCGAAGAAATATTTGTGCAAAAGAAATATTACACTCCTGTGCTGAACATGGAAAAAATGTTATTAAAAAAGCATTCTGAGGAATTTACGAAATGCATTTGCCCTTTCAAGTTTTCTGAAAATGTAAAACATCATGAAACCAGCACCGACTTCTGTAAGTTATTGCATCATCACATGAGCAGTTTGCCCTCTAGTGGGTCTAAAAGTGCGTCAGTGACAGATTTAAGGTGACACAGGACCAGCAGTTCAAAGCAATTCTTTACTAAGAAGTGAGTGCCAACGACCCAGAGTCGCTGAAGCAGTAGATTTTGTCCTTAAGAGCAGATAGGAAATTTTGGCACACATACGCTTATTACACACGTCACAAAATCGTGTGTGTGTGTGTGTGTGTGTGTGTGTGTGTGTGTTTATAGTGTATATAAGCATTCAAGCTTGCAACAGACCAGAGTGCTTCTGACCTCATCTTCCTCACCTGTGCCTCAGTATCTCTCTCCTGCACTCCCTTTCTACCCGAGGGCTCTCCTGTTCCTTAGTAGCGAAATATTTGGGCTTGACAGCAAATTCATCTCTATTAACCAGTGCATGTGTGCTCGGCTGGCACGAGAAGGCTTCATACGTTGGGAAGTTTGTGAATGTTGCAGAACAACGGGGAGGTGCATGGTTGCTGCAGGTCTTTCATATACTGTAGCAGCGTAGCTCTCTCTAATTGGAAATTCAACCTGTGCAGCAGAGCAGAAATCTGCCACGGTCAGCAGCTTAGCTTTGTTTTCATTAAGACACACACACCCTGTAGTTCACACCCACCTTTGTTCTCATGAAGGACAGTAAGTCTGATGATAATAATAATTGGGACACTTAAGTTCAATTAACTCACAAATAAAGACACAAATAAATCATTGTATAGAACTTCAGAGAAGCATATATTCTATAGTTTTAATGCACATGAACAAATACTACACTTTTTTTCTCATCTTTGTGGCGGTGTGAGTGTCAGTCATTCTTGCGGTCGTGCTTGCTCTTGCTCAGTCTTTCTGTGTCTGTCTGTATTTTTCTCCCCCACACTCCCCGACAGGTTTCCACACCGCTGCTTTTGTGAGATTGCACTTATTCCCCTTAAAGAGACACAAGCTCAGCCCTGCAAGCACACAACACCACACACATACAGTTTAGACACCTACACGCCCACACATGACCTGTGCCTTCACTCATGCAGTACGAACATTCACTTTACCCCCATGCACACAAACACATATACCTGTTTACCTTGTTTTTGGTGTTATAAGGCTGCATCAGAAGTGCCCATCAGAGCCAATAGAGTAGAGGGTGACTCGATGTGTTTTTGCACAGCCTTCTTTACAGCAAGCCTTGCATCCCCTTGGGAGGTGTAAAAAACAAAACAAAAAAAACATTACAAATGTTAGAGACACCCGTCATGACTCTTGACATCCTCACAATTCTGTCATCAACCATGAAACCATCACTTGCTGGAAATCGGCTACTTTGCTCTTCTGTAAAATCATAAAAACAGAAATGACGGATCCTCTGCCGCCTGTACTTTTCACAACAAAAGGAGATGCAAGAAGAAAAGAGGTAAGGTATATTTCGTGCAGCATAACGGTGGATGTGATGTGTTGTGCTAGATGATAAGATGAGCTCTTAATGTTAATACTCCCTCCACGATACACATTAAATTAGTTAAGGTGTTTGTTGCAAATGTTATGCCTCCACTCCAATCCAAAATACACACCAATAAATTCCCAGTTTGTTGTTTTGTTGTCGCACAGACACACTGTTTGAATCAGTTGTCCTCATTTAACCTGGTAATACTCACACACGTCCAGACGTAATCCGCTTGTCATTTAGCCTATTGTACTGTATAGCAGATAGATCACAACAGTTGTCTCTAAGACAGAATGTGGGGATTTTAGAGGAGCATGCAAACACATACAACACCACACACACACACACACACACACACACACGCATGCACAGACAAGTGTGCTTACAGTAGTTTTCATTTGCTGCATTTTTTTTTATATTCCTCTTGTATGTAATCTTGTTAAGAAAACGCATTCTGTAAATATGAACAATTTAAACACTTCAACCACAATAAATGTTCTACATTCATCTCTGTATTGCCAATGCAAGTATCTCCCGCTCCTCTCTCTATTTCTTAAATATGGCTTCCCACATGCATTGTGTCACAGAAAGCAAAGATCTTTTTTTGCTTTCTGTATTGAACAATTGCTTATTGATTATCAATGCTATTAGGCTTCCCTTGACCCCACTGCATTTCCTTTTGGTTTGTCACACATAAGCAAATGGCATTTGTTGTACTAATATAGAGGACATGCGATCTTGACAAGTCCTTTTTGCTTGTACTGGGCAAACAACACCCACCTTGTACTGGCCATTGAAGTGTCGCTTATACCCAAACCCTGCTTCTACTGTCTTTATGTGTCATGATGGTGAAAAATCTGCCCACCACTTGCTCTCTCATCTTTGTATTCGCCTGGGAGCAAAGCACTTATGTTGGGTTAGGGTAGATTCATACACTCATTCTGATAGCTCTTGAATGGAGAAAGGAGCCACGATACAACAATGTTGCCACTTTAACCACAATTTTTGGGGAACCTGTCTTGGGTGAGCAGTGCAGTAAGCAGAGCCAGTATTTGGGCAGCCACTCAATGTTTGGGCCCTGAATGGCTTCAGACTGGTGAATGTGCGATTGGTTTTCTCTGTGGAGTAGAGTATTCAGTGTGTATAGGCTCAGTCCACCATCCTCTCAGGGCAAGGTTTATAGGAGCTTGGCTCAATTTAGAGCTTTTTTGCCCGTTTCTGTCTCACTCTATCATAAAGGTGAATGCATCAGCATTTTCGTCTTGCTAAGGGGTTGTTCAGTCACCCCCTCCTAAAGTGGTGTCTGTGGGTAGTGAAGCGTCAGACTGTAGTCCAATGGGTGCCTCCCATAGTGCTCAAGGATGTGTCCTCTGAACCTCAGGAGACCATTACGGGCATGTCCTTAAACCATTTATAACCCTTTTTTTAGTGTAGTAAATAAGTCAAACTAAAGCCCGCAAATTACTTGAATCAGTTCTGCTTACACCTTCCATTGATAGCTGTAAAAAGTGTAATTAAAACACTAAATACTCAATTGTTCATATTGACTGATATATCTTGCCTCACAATCCTCAAATTATACATTTTCTTCAATATCCAAACTAATCCGGTTTACTGGGGCCTAACTAATGTGTCATAAGGCTGCTTTGGTGCTGTGAAATAATGTCAGTCAAGCTATCTTGAGTGAGGCCTTGCCCAGTGCAGAGGTGTCTCTCTCGTAAGGCAAAGAGCCTTTTTGAGGAATGAGAACGCTTCTGAAATACAAATTTTTCCTCCATGCTGTAAAAGGACTGTAATGTGCTAAACAATGGTGTGTGTTTTCACATAAATGGTGGAATTAGTAACATTGTGTTTTTCCCAATTCTGAGACAGTGAGACTATGTATTTATTTATTTACTTACTTTCTTCCTTCAAGGAACAAGGTTAAAACTTGTATTGTAGTTTAGCAAAATCACTGGTTCAATGGCCTAGTGTAATCACCACCCATGGTATCAACAGCGTGGCGATGATTATCCTGCTGATGACCTCAGTGGAGAGAGCAGTCAATCTGCCGCTGATTGCTGCTCTATTCTTGTCGCTTAATTTTCTGTCCCATCTATCCTTCAAACCAGCTGTTGTCATGCCTGACTGCCTGCCAAATATGAGCAATAAAAGTTGCTCCCATTGTATTCCACAGAAGATACATCTTGGTCTCCCTCACTCTTTCATTTGTCCCTCAAAAATATCTTCTGCCTTACACTCAGCAGCTTCACAATTGCTCCAGTTTGACATCTCCAGTGTGCTCTTTTGTCATTAAGTCAGTGGTCTCTTGCCAATACTAGTTAAAAATAGAAATATAGATAGATTATTATTAAGCCTCTGGCTCTGGTGCTTTCGGTTTTCCACACAGGACTTGTGCTTTAATCCCTTATTTCCCATCACTTTGTCCCATAGTCCCTTTTATTCTCCTGAAATTAGTTTTTGAACCATTGCAGCATTCCACTGAAAAAGGTCCTATGTGCACAAACAAGGTAATTTTCTCCAAAGTGATGACACAAAGAAAGACCGTGGTCAATACATTCAATCTACAATCAATTAATGGCCCCTGCTTCCTCTTCAGGCCTGTGTTCTCTTTATGCATCTTTGTGTCCGTCTTTCTTCCACTCATCTCTCCATCTGTTCCTTGACAGTCAATTGTTGTTGCAATTGTACTCGTATCTAATAGTCTCTCTCAATCTTTCAACCATTTTCATTCAATCAATATTCAGCGTATCTTCGGTCTGAATTACAGCCATATTGCCTTATTAGCCTCCATCCGTTACGTTTTCTCCATACGTTTTCTTCCATCTCTGTCTCCAACCTGCCACACATGTCTAATAATGATAAAATGCATTAATAGACAAGCAATGATAAATCAAAACATGTTACTGTACAGGCCAAACACAAAGTGACCTTGCAAAGAAGCCAATGTTAAGTGCAGCAGAACAGAGGAGACAAATACAACAAAAACTCAACTAATGACTTATTTTTACTCTCTCTGTCCAGTTGATCTGAACCGTCTCAATGACGACGTCAAGCGGTACAGCTGTACTCCTCGCAACTACTCTGTAAACCTGCGCGAGGAGCTGAGGGCCACCAACGCCGTCTTCTTCCCTCGATGTCTGCTGGTCAAGCGCTGTGGAGGCAACTGTGGCTGCGGAACCAATAACTGGAACAGCGGCTGTACCTGTCAAGCCTCCAAGACCACACTCAAACTACATGAGGTAGGTCTTCAAAGCATGGCGACACACTGGTGGACCTGTCAAAGCACTCATTCAACACTATACACCAGGGCTGTAACGGTTCTGGAATCAAGACCGAAAACACGACACTAAAGTCGACGGCCTCGTGTCGCAGATCCAAGAGACAGAACCGCGACACACTCGTTCTCCAGACCGTTGAGCTCTCATTAAGACAGTGTAACTGTGGCAGCGGTGTAGGCCTATATCATATTTGTATTGACCGTAGGTTATTCTAGGTCAGGGGTTTTCAAAGTCTGAGACTGCGGGCCTACCCTCAGACAAAGCTTGAGAAAGGCCCCCCCCCCCATATCTTTAGTTTACTTTGTAATTTTCGCTCAATTCCTGGATGCCTATGCGATTATGATTATATTATTTGATCCCTTAGACACTCAACATTTTAGCCATAATACCCTGATATTGCTGTTTGACATAACGTCTGACTACACCAAATAGTTTTAAAAAAGCTCTGTCCTAAGGCATTTATTAGTTTCTAACTCCGATGGGGTCAAAAACTAATAAATGCCTTACTCCTGTATCTCTGAACTCTCACACATGTGACTATTCTATGTGATCTCCTTTTGATAACTAATGCAATAAGTAACGTAATATTGTTTCACTTCCATTCACTGAGCCTCCCCTGAAACTGTTTGGAGCCTCCCTAGGGAGGCCCGCCTTACACTTTGAAAACCCTGTTCTAGGTCATTTTCCACCATATTTTAGTGTTTACTACTTGAATCTGCTCCTCTTCTCTTCTCCTCCCCACTTGCTCTTTCCTTCTCACACTCCCTATATGTCTCTCTGCTGACTTTCTCCATCAGCAGTACGTTTCATAAACTCACCTGTGATTCAGTTTTCAAGTGCGCCGCATGTGGATCAAAACCAAAACTTAACATTAGTGAGTGACATCTACAGTGATGCATTCACTGTCGCTCCGTAATGTAAAATTTCTACTACATCTGCCTAATGTAATATCATATATCATCTCTTTCTCTGCATTTCTCTGCAAAATGCTAAAGTGGGCTTCCAAAAGTACTTTGGCAGGTGCTAATATACCTGGCTGGCCCGCCCAAGTAAAGTATTAGTTGAAAAATAGTAAATATTACACCTTAGACCAATTATACTGTCCTCCAACTGCATGTTTCACGTGACTATTTTGGTCCAGTCATGATTGAGTGATCGTGCCTGCAACTTCGACGAACAAAACACCTTTTTATAGACTGATCTGACATGAGAAGAATCGCCTTAACTTAATATTTACTCATTCAGTATATTTTTTTTTTTACACTTGTTGCGGGTGCTTATTCATAAATGAGACTGACATGTAAAATGTCCAGCACATTTTAGTTGAATACATTAAAGAGGTTAAAAAGATGCCTTGTGAGTGAGTGAGTGAGTGAGTGAGAAGCAGAAAGATTGGGCGTGCATAGGCAGGCGCCGCATCAACAATGAGGTAGCAATGCACCAACAGCCTCACACTTTCTCTCTTCTTCTCGCCTCCATTTGTTTCTGTCGGCCCGTCTTTCTCCTTCCAATCTCTCCACATCTCTCTCAGTGAATTGTTAGCGTTCTGTCCCTCTCTCTCCTTCTCTCTGTGGGCTTCCTTCATCCTTTCTTTCTCCCCAATTCCCATTTTCAATTTATCCCTTTGCAATCCACCATTCTTGTTCTTTAAGCCTGTCATTCATTCCTTTCTCTCACTTCCCTCCATCTCTCTTTGTGTCTTTGTTCTCATATAGCTTCATTATTGAAACATGGTCCGCAGGGCTCTCTCTCCGTCTCACTGTTGAAAATCATACAATGGAATTTTAGACAAAAGTGAGATTTGGGTTGTAATTGTGCTATGTATGTGAGCGTCCGTGTAAGTCACTGTGTACGAGAGCATTACAAGTGTGTTTGTGTCTGTGTATACTGTACATGCATAAAATTGCTTGCATGTGGGTTCTCATTAGTGTGTGGTAGTGTTGCGTTGTGTTTGGTGTGTGTGTGTGTACGTGTTTGTGAAAGACTTCCATCCGCCTCGCCTCTCCTTGCAGGCAGGCAGTCTTGGACCTGGAACTGCTTCCTTCACCAACTTAACTTCTAAAGAAACACGATTACTCACGCACACTATTGTTTCAGTGCTGGGAAGTCCTGACATAAATCATGGGCAGCCTCGCTTTCACTGAGCTTTGGAGAACACATTCACTGCATCAGTTGTGGAACAATTTGTACTTTATTTTTACATTAGAAGTGGCACCTACGAACAATGTGGCCATCTGCAACAAAGTCAGTTATGGTGAAAGGCTGACTAAATCTAACTATAAAATCAATTCCACAGTGCGTTCACAGACTCAATGTAAACACAGTCCTGTAACCTCCTTTTTGACTTCACATTTGTAAACAATTGTCTAACTTTTGTTTTAAAAGCACAATATCCAAACTTTTTGACATAGTAAAATGTTAACAGCATACTACGCAAATCCATCCCTGTATATCTGCAGGGCTCGACAATAACGGTGGCCCGATGCCAGTAAAACGTAACGTCGGGACAGCTGAACTAGCAACTCACTGGCCCAATTGGGCCAGTGCAAAAACATTATTTTTATTTTATTTTTATTTTTTTAAATGAAACTCAACATCCTGCAGTTGTTTTGCAGCTCTTGGCGCGCACCGATGTCCAATCCAGAGTTGTAGTTATGTGACGAGAGGTTCACAAATGTTATTTCTCTAATCTCAGTCATGCGGCAACCTCTGGGTCGAAAGTGAAACCATGTAGACGGAACTTAAAGCGTCATTCTCTCTAACGACTTCCATTAGAAATAATGGTAAAATGCTACTTCTCAGCTGATTTATTACCCCAGTAAACACTTTTAAAATTAGTTTATAGTCTCAGTCACTAGTTTCAAGTCTTCAACACAGTATGATGTTCATTTAGTATATTATGGTCCTATTTAGGGGAAAATAGACAATGCAGCGTATGCTTTTAGACGGGACTACCTTGTGATTGACAGGTCGCTACCATGGCAACCCGTTCATCAGGATAGAGGCGCCTCGTGTCCGCTGCTCCGTCTACATTTTTGATAGATGGCTGTCAGCAGGAGAGCACGTCATGTTTGAGTCTGTTAGTATGTTTTGCTTTAAAAGTAAATTGTTTTGTTAACCTTTTTATTTTTTTATCATTTTAACTGTGATTACATTTTTGTTTATTTTTTTTATATCCTGGATGTATTTAATAAACGATTAAACACTTTTGAAAGGAGGGACAATAAAAATTGTCCGTGGGGCCAGTTGCAAAAAGGTTTAACGTTGAGCCCTGATCTGTAATCTGTCAGTCCGTGTAATACCAAATTCATTTGCTTTCAATCCCTGATGTCTGGTATGTTTTCAGAGATACTATATACCGTTTTCCCTTTGCACAGCCAGCTATGAGTCCCTTGGCAACAGAAGGTTCCCTACTTGGGAGGGCTCCAACAAGTTATCCTGAAAACTAATAAATGAATGCAAAAATAATACAGGAATTCCAGTGTGGTCAGTTAGGATTTACAAGTGGAAAGGTGGTAATTGTTTTCTGACATTTCTCACATCTCTCCCCCTTTCAGTTCAAATTGCTGTTATTGGCATTAACTGCAAAAGTATTGTCAAAACCTACCAACAATTCAGCCAACAGTGAATCCACTTCCTTCCGCCCTCCCTTCATCCCTGCTGTCTTATTCTCTGACTCCTTTAGGTGCTGAAGTACGCCCCAGAGGTCACTCTGCATCAGCGCTTTCGGAAGCCACGGGTGCAATGGGTCATAGATGAGATCTTCCTCACACACCATGAAAAATGCCAGTGTGTGTGTCCCTCCCAGCCCCCACGCTGAGACACTCAGACTGGCACACGCATCTGGAAGTATTGGACAGACTTCATATAATAAATAACAGCAACGCAGACACACATGCGGCAAAGAAGGCAACAATTTGACTGGCAAACTGCAGCTCCTATCATACATAATGACATTTGTTCTTGTAAGTAAACCACCTGGCTCCCTTTGTACACAATGCATACATCTTTCTGGCCAAACATGTTTGTTATTGAACTTTAATGTAAGTTGATCTAGTCTAAATCTACCATGTTTACACCACATTTAAACATTAATTGTGCACCAAACAGTGGCTCTTCTCCAGAGGAATTCACTTTCAATTTAATCAAAAAGTTTTTTACCTCCAAAATCTAAATACTGAAAAAAAAATTTAGAATAAAAAAAATGACCATACCACATTAGAATGAAACAACACCAATATTGTATCAAACTTGAAAGAGTTTAATGGATGCCAACTTGATTGGAGTGAAGTTTAATTGACTCCAACCGCTGTGTAAACAATTGTTTTTATTCCTATTTCTTGTGTATGTATTTGAGTTTCTTTGTGTTATATTAGGACTGTTTCTAAAAAAAAAAAAAAAAACCTTCAGGCACTTCTTCCGCCAGGAGCATGCTGAGATGAGGGAGCACGAGACAGGAGGAGCGAGAGAGAGGGGTTGGAGGAAGTGTTAATCAAAATAACACTTTATCTTGATGTGAAATTACGCTAACCTCAACCCTCCCTGCCCTCTCACACACATACCTAAAATAAAAACTAGTTATTTACTGAATTTTCCGCTGCTCTGTTTTTCAGCGAAGCCCCTTTTGTTCTGTACACATTCCTGTCTGCATGTATTCTCGCTTCCTTTCGTCTTTCCATCCGTACACTTCCTGCTCCTTTTCTTTCCTCCTCACTGACTCTCCCTCTCTCTCTCCCTTCGTCACTCACTCTCTTAATACATCAAAGGAGACGTGAGATCAGGCCGCTGCGCTCTGCCCAGTTTTCTGAGCGTTCCTGGCATTCCAACTGCTAACAGGAATTCTGCTGCTGCAGATAAAACCGCGATCCTCAGTCCCTGAAAACACATAAGAGGAAAGGGGGAGAGATACTTCAGGATGAGAGACGGAGAGGTTTTTAGGAGAGGTGACTGACAGAAAAGGGACAATCAAGCCGCCTATTTGTAGATTAGCACTGCTCCTGGATGAGAGCCACTTTCAAGATACAACCCGTGAAAGATTGCAGCAGCTTCAGCAATTTCAATCAGCACATTCATGCTTTCAGCTCGCCTGATTTTTTGTGCTTCATGAAGATGCTCATACGTATCATAATCTGACCTACTATTTTGCACACCAGTGAAAAAGAGATCTGTGGGAATTAGAGTAATGTTCTTGGTCTCTACTGAAAATACAACTGATACTTTAGTGTGTGTGTGTGTGTGTGTGTGTGTGTGTGTGTGTGTGTGTGTGTGTGTGTGTGTGTTTTTGCCTGTAACAGCTCAGGAAGAGGTCCTTTTGTTTAAGGGGTGGAGGGTTACCAACAGTCTGTGAGAGCTGGCAGCAGATACAAGCATGTGAACAGTCGACATGTGACTGCATGCAAGAGTGTGTGTGACTGCGTGCAAGAGTGTGTGTGTGTGGTGTGTGGATAGAGTATTCAAAGCAACAGAGCATGAATTTATACTAACTGCTTATCATTTCCATACACACACGACCCAGCTGCGAGAAATAAGGACACTGTCATCTCTCCATCATGACCGCCCCTCCTCCCCATGTGTCCCACCATCGCAGGCCCTAGTTTTACAGGCTAGATTTATACAGAGAAAATGGGATTTTACACACTACTTTTGTTCTAAAGGCAGACAAAAACAGAATAAACCGGACATTGACACGATTCCTCAGTCACAGTGAAACCAGATCATCTGTGTTCTGGCATAGGTTGTGTGTGCGCATGTGTGTACCGTGAGTCAAGGGTGTTATTTGGCAGGTGTGGAATTCAAAACACAACCGGACACACACAAAAGTGTGGTCCGGTTGTGCGGTACTGACATTCCAAGTAATTTATCACAGACACCATCCACACACATACAGACAGTTGTCTTTGGCAGTAGTTCGTCTAAGAAAGCAGCCGCACTGTGCTGTCAAGCTTTTGTCTTCTGGTCTCTTGCAAAGTATGCTCTCATTCCTGTGTGCTGCATTTTGAAACACAAAGATATACACTAAGCTCATACAGAGTTGGCGATTTGATTGAATTTCACAAAGGACGGTTGGCAGGTAAATTACCCCTTTTTATTTTCAGTAGCAAACGAGCCAGATGGTGATTAGGTAACGTGTCATTTCCAAGATGCTTTGCTGCAAAGTGTGTAGTTACTGTACCCATGATTTTGTCAGAGCTTGTATGAAATCTGCTGCCAACAGGATATGTATAGCAAATGTATGTATTGTAAATGTATGTGAGGGGGGTGTGTGTGTGCGTGCACGTGTGTGCATCCTGTGTCTGCCAGTTTGCTGGTGTTATCAGCACATTCCATTGTTGCATGCTCCAAAGTGACATTCCTCTTTTTCCTCATGACTGGTTTGTTTTCTCCTCCAATTCTTTACAATAGAATGCTACATTTCACCGTCAGACATTTAAAACTGATGTTTGGATTTTTTTTGTTGGTTTAGTCACATCAACTGCTGTACGAGCACAAAAAAACCCCACACATTAGACCTTTGAGGAAATTTCGGACAATCATGCTTTCAATAAGATTTGGTCCAGAGTTTCAGCTTCCCCTCTGAGGATTGTGGGGATTGTCATATTTTCAACTCAGAGAAAAGTTGTTGGTTTTAGCAAAGCCCTGCTTTGCCGAATTCAGAAAAATATTCATGATAAAACTGTATGCTTTACTTAAATAATTTATTGTGTCTTTCTCTATAGTTTTATTGAAAATATCAGCAGATTGGTCTTGATAAATAAAGTGTTCCTATCATTACTGTCTCCAGCGCTTTGATTTTTTTTCCCCCCTCACCAAATAACTGCATGTTTTTTTTTTATATTATATGCAACAAATGCTTGTTTGATTTCATCACCTGTAGAGTGTAATAGCAAATGTGTTGTGTTTCAGCAGATACCTCACACTGGAAAGAAAGATGTTGGGACAAACTGGGAAAGAACTAATTAAATAAAAACACAAGCACAGAGAGAGCAAGAAGAATAGAAAAAGAGTTTGGATGCAGAAAAATGATTGAGGTTGTGTTGCTCTGCTGCTGTCAGATACATTCTTGCAAACAACTGAGCATTCAGGTCACCATGGGAACCATAAATGTGCTTTAATAACCAGTTTATCAGTAGTAAGTTCAGGAGAGGTCATAAAATTGCAGCAGTCAAATGTCTAACAATTATAGTTTTCCACAATCAGTGCTGTCCATGTCCTTCCACTGTGAGTCAGCCCCTGTCAAGCCACATGGGAAAAGTGAACTGAATGTTGGGTTACTTACTGGTTTTCTGTTTGGGAGCAAACAGTAAGCCCCGGGTCTGCAAAGTGATGCCAATGCAAAGTGCCTTAAACCTGCATTCTTTCTAATGGCCTGCAGGGGGCGACCCCACTGGTTAGCAAAGTCTGACAAAATGGCCCCACGCCTCACTTGATTTACTATCTCTAAACACTTTCCTAATGAGATTATGGTCTAAAATCGCTCGTTTCATGCCCTCTTCATTACAGCATGATCATTTCATAAATTATGGTCCTCTTTAAAGTAAAATAGAATAATAAAGCAGGGAAAGCTTTAGGAAGTGGTGGCTACCTTGTCGACAAGTTGCTACCACAGCAACCTGTCAATCAGGATAATGGCGAATCATAGCCACTGCACAGTGTATGTTTAACTAGCCGTGAACTTGTTTTTGGGTACTGACAGTGATTTTGTATAAGTAGTGTGTTTACAGTTCATCACTGTTAATTGTAACATCTTGGTCACCTTTCTGGTAGCCTAAGAACATTTTGTTTTAAGCCTGTTTTTTGCCAGCCAAAATTAGCATCCCAATGCCAACCATGCTACCTAGCGCCACCCTTTCATCCAAATATGGTCACTTCTGGTTCCAAAAAGGGCCAAAATGACAAACCCAAGGCTGCAAACCAATCAATGATGTCACAGCTAACAACAGCTTTTTTTCTGCTGTAATCAGCTGTTCCACTTGTTTTGGAGAAGAGGAGACTACGGCTCTGTGTAAAAACTTCCTGACTGATGAAAACCTAAAACAACAACAACTTCGGACTCAGTATTTAGCGTAGGCTACCTCCCTCAGCTGTTAATGCTGAGTTATGATCTCAGGCGGACATCGTAGAGACTTGTGATGCTATTTGACTGTTGATTGTGATTTAGGAGCAATCGAAAAACATCTGACATTCTCCAGTTAAAGCCAGTAGCCCCTACTCGCAATCACTGCAAGGCAAGCCCGCCAAAGTAACGGTACTTTCGGAAAGTACTACCCCCCGAGCAGGGACTTTTTGGGGGGTAAATTAAAGACCCTAGAACTACATTTAGACCCTGGTCTCTTCGGTGGAAATGCATTGAGTTCCTTCAAAAGGTTCCTAGGTCTAGGGTATAGTCCTTTGGTCGAAACGTATTTGTCTGGCTCTCGCACAGGAAGATGTCCCCATTCCTAATATCACCTATAAACCTAATTGAACCCTCGCTAAGTCCGACAAACTGCCAGCGCTGCCGCTGTCCATTACTGCACTCCCCGGAGAAATATTGTCAAATTTGTTGGAAAAAGCGATCTCAGAAAGAAGTAGACAGTTTTGCAGTTGCATTATACATTTGAAGGTTGTATTCAGGCTGTGAGACTGACTCAGACTGACTCAAACTGACGTGAAAAAAAGCTAAAAAGTCTACGGATCACACAGTACAAGTGAACCACCGCATCCCCCTACGATTGAGACAAAATACGATATTAAGGATCAACACTGTTCCTGTACAGCTGGGTAGGCCTCTGTTCATTATTACAAATCATTAAAAAGCAGAACAGTAGGGCTTTAGTACGTTACATTAAGTAGGAAGTTAGCTAGCATTAGCTAACTAACATTACATTAGGAACAACCCACAGCTGACATTTTTCTGACTTTAATTTAGGTTCTGGAAAGAGAATAAATAGTATTTCTCCTTTTAACCTCTCTGGGTAGCTGCTGTAACTATTACAAGATGCCCCAGGAACAGCGTTTGACCAGATCTTAGAAAAATACAGCAGAAGAAAGCTATAAAAACGACTCTTTTTGCATTAGAGTGAATGTAGCGCAGCCATGAAAGTGTCGGACCTCAGTTAGAGCGAGTCCTATACTGCGCTGTGATTGGCCAGCTGTGTATTCGGGGTGTGGCTTAGCAAAGGGTCAATTGGGCTGGTTGTTTTTCTAGTCTGGAAAACAGACATTATTGACACACCAACACCACATGTGGTGTCACCTGGCCAGAGTGGCAAGGAAGGTGATAGATGGGCAGACTCAAGCTTGATTTATACTCCTGCGTAGGGTCTACGCACGTAGCCATGCATTTATACTTGTGCGTCGGTGTGTCCGTCATTCTGCAATTACAGCCCCAAACGCTAGTCGGCGGTAGCGCTAGTGTGTCCACTTGCGATCACACTTTGATAGCAAAACAAGTCATTTTGATCTATAAAAAACAAACTTGAAGGGAGAATGTGTAGTAAACTCTGAACCATGCATACGCACATAAAGAGGAAAAATCAGGAATGTCGACTCACATGGCAGAAGGATGAAACAGTTTTAAATGAATAAGGTGAAAAGGAGGACAAATTACATTTAAATTGATGCTGTTTTCAATGCGTCAGTCGAGGAAATACAAAGAGCATAGTTTCATATAGCCTATTGTTATCACATGTCCATTGCCTTATCGAGCCAAACGCTTTGCGTCAGCGTTTGGATGTGATGCACTGCTTGTAAAAACACATTATGGAAATATAACACTATTTTATTGTCATTTACAACAAGTCATATTTCTTTCTCATCTCATCTGCAGCAGTATAACACAAGTGGAATGCATTTGGTTTACTCTCTTTTCAAACGGGGGGACTTCAAATTAGTACCTGGGTCCGCCTTTAGCCAGCAGTCTCAAGAGGGATCCCCCTTCCTGAAGATCGGTTATGAAGGCGGTGAAGCTCTGGTACCCCCCTTTCCTCCCGTTCACAAGCATTGCATGCAAGTGCGTTTTTTACCCACCAAACAACTTCTGCGTCACCAAAAGGAACGTCAGTGTTAAATTTCATTTTGTAGCTTTTCGGTCAGAATTTGCCTCCTTTTCTTCATGCAGTTTTCTTCATGCAGTCAGAAAGTGTTAAGATAAGTGAGCCTGCTCACATGCAGCACATTTCAAGTTGATTTTCATTTATAAAGGGAACTTGCTTACAACTGTGCATACGCACAGTTTTATAAGTCTGAATATTTTTTGGAGTATGCCATTTTTGGCTTTTGGCCGCACACAGTTTTATAAATAAGACCCCTGGTCCGGTTGTTTGGGCCAGGTGGTTCGTGGTTGTCTATGATACGCTTAGCTGTGAACTGTAACATAATGTGTGTAACCCGTCTACAGCCCCTATATGTAGAGGCGCCCTGAGTGCAGAAATTAACTTCAGCTGGTGTGTCAGGAGTCACTCTAAACCTTGATATAATAACCACGCCTGGAATTCTGGAATGAAAATAAGTAACCTACCCTCTGATTTTAATAAATAGGCAAAAATGATAAATTAAATGTAAACTTAAACATTTTTCCCCTCAAACAAAGCTTTTAAGAGATTTAGTTTGAACAATACAGTAACTCAGTTTACCTGAAACAAAAAAACAACAGCTACTTGTTAGCACCTTTAACTTGAATCATCAGAGTGATTAATTACTTTGCACCTAACTCATAACATAGGCCAGCAGAATATCACAATGACAAAAAATTAAATAAAAACGTTGCAGGCCTGTTTAGTTGCTGGGGAGTGTTTAACAGTCCTTCACTCAAACACAGAAACAGTCAATAGGCAGTACTTTTTTGAGATGTGGGGTCCGACAGGGAAAACTTACCAGTCCAAGGGCCTTAGAAACTATGCAGAAGAACGATGGTGCTAGCCAACGAGTCCGGGTTATCCAGGGTTATCCAGCGGTTGCCAGAGGAACTCTGAGCATTTCCGGTAGAACAGAGCGCGATCTGGGCTCCTTCTCTGGGTTACCGAGCCTGACGCAGTCTATCCGACGCCACGTGTTGAGCTGGGTTAGCTCGTAGCAGGCAACAGCTAACTAGCCACTCACTCGCTTAACGAGCGGCACTCTACAGCTTACGATACAGGAGACCTCGGTTAGAGGCTGTTTTACTCACAAATACGTCTTCTTGTAGATGATCTAGCCGATAAAATACAACTACTTAAGATCACTTTATACATATACACTCCGAAAACTTCCGCTCCGCTCGCCGACCTCCACTGTTTCTGCCTCTCTTGTTTCTCTTCCTCCTCACCTCTGACCCCTCTCCTCTATCTACGTGAAATGAACAGTCATTTAACAAATGAAAGAAAATAAAGCACATAAATGGAATTTTAACATTTTTAGGATTTTTAAACATTTTAACCATGGATTTGACATTTTTTACATACAATGAAGTTATTTATTTGTTTACCACAAAAACTATTCATACACGTTTCAGCCGGGCTACATGTGAATGCAAAGAACCAGGGATATATATGGAAATAATATGGTGTGAGGTGTACGATGACCTGTAAGAGACAAGTAGTGAGCATCACCCACTTTGTCACACCACACCTATATGAATCACTGACAAATCTGAGATGTGGGCAGTAATTCAGCTTTTTTTGCATTTACATCATATGCGATGGATGATGGAGACTGGACAGATTCCCATTTTTTCAATTAGTCAGGCTTCACGTCAGCCAAAGATGGTTGTATGAGTTTGTTGTGTGAGAGTTAAGACAACTAAAAGTCTG